GAAACTGAAGAAAGAGTGTCATTTTATTCTAAATAAATTTCCGTTTGTGCACAAATGTTTTCACAGCCGTATCAGCTTAAACAATCTACCAAAATATGATGAAGTAAACCGATGTAGCTAGCTAGTTTTCCCCTTCTGGTAACTAAGCGCTGAGGCCTTTTTTATAAACTAACATTTTCAGAACGGGTTTGGGTTGAATTCATTTAGTAATCAAACCTTTTATATACTGGCATCCTTCAGAAAGTCGATCCCAGTAATTCTTCAGCTCGAGCCAGAAAATGTGCATACAGCTTCTTAGAGAAATCTGCTTGGTGGACATGGTTTGGATAATCTTAGCTATTTTATAGGCCCCACCTTAATTCTGGACATTATGGCTTAGTTATATCTAGAAAGCATGAGTCTAGTCACCAGCTGTTTGCAGCCGAGAAGTTTGTCTGCCTCTCAAGAACCTGTTTCTCAAGCCCTTCACTGGGTTCATCTGTTATCACGATGATTATGGCATAGCCCGTTTAATGTCATTTATGATAAAAATAGATTATATCCATTATATAAGCGGAGTAGCTGGTTGAGAAAACTGCACAATAATTGGCATTTGTTATGGAGGAATTGATCAATTTATAAACAGTTGACCCTTATACTGGTTTAATCCCTATCTTTCATGGCGATAAAATAATGCGGTTGAAGAGTTAATTTTCTATCAGAATTACATATAATAAAAATTAAACATCGGGTGATAAAGAATTAGTTCTCTAACTACATTAAAGAGTGCAGATAAGCTGATAAAAATCTTAGTTAAACATTTTAATAATTGGTTATTGCTCTGCATTCAGAATAAGTGATTAATAAGTCTAGATATTTTAATTGAAGGTATGAAGACGAAGATGGTGTGGTCATTCGTTGTATAGAAGTTGTTAGACCTTGTATTCACAACTTGGTCATATTGGTATGAAGACATAGAGGAACGCACCTAGTCCGAAGTCCAGAGCATGTGGAGAGTTCTCATGAAATCCACTCAAAAGGGCACAACATATCACATTTTAATAAGCAATTAAGAAATTGTGATAGTTTAGCGGTGATACGAGGAGATAGGAGTTGCGAATAGGCGAGGGCAGAAGGAGAGATACCACAATTGTTTAGCAGACAATTGGTCGAGCTGTAGTGTGATGCTAAGGCTGGCAAGGCTCATTGACGATGCTGGCGAGGCGTCTGGGACTTTACCATGTCCACGGTCCGACTCTGGAGACTATCATGCATACTATCTACTTCAGACTAGGTGCATTCCTCTAAGTCTTCCTACCAATATGACCAAGTTGGGAAAACAAGGCCAAACATCTTCCCAGACTAAATATTATTTACGTGTGAAGTTTGGTACAAGCAAACTCTCACTTCTTCTCGAATCATTTTGGGTAAATAAAGTGAGAAAAAAAAATTATCCACTCAATACATCTAAGCTTTGCAAGAGTGCTCAACAAACAAGGTCAAGGAGATTTGTATGAGGATTAAAAAAAACAATAAAATATAAATAATAAAAGTAAATTTGACATTTATTATAATTATGTATAAATGGTTAGAAAAACGACCTATCCTTTAATAGGATGGTGAATTATATCCAAAATTATCACTGTCAGGAAACCGGGAGTTTTAGCTATAACCTCGACTACATTCTAAGGTATCCAGGCCGTTAAAATTTAACATTTTTTAACTTGTTTTTCACATAAAAGTTTGGGGTTTTTCAGAAAAGTCGGATAGTTAATCAAGATATTTGGCTATCAAAGGTAGAAGGCCTTTTAAAATTGGAGCACACTAAGGATTTATGTTGTAGTAATAGTGCTCACATCTTGTTACATAACAAAGCCTTTTTGGCGTCCATTCTACAGGGCACTCTTGATGGATTGATCCACTATTGGGTTCAACAGGCGGCGATGTCCACTCTGGCAGGCGAATTTTTGATCTGCTTGGAAAATAATCAGCCGTCTACTCCTCTGTATGGCTCCAAGTCGGCGTTGCGGGCACAAGCTCAGGTTGACGAAGCTTTCATCGACGAATTCTGTTCTACGTATCGTCTGTTTATGATAGGTCCGGATGAGCTAAACAGCCAACTGTTTGGGCTCATCTGTCCCTGCCTAGCCGGTAGTCTAAGTGCCCCACGGCCGGTTTTAGGTGCAGCTAGTGGTAATGAAAATGGAGACGTAGATGGTACTCGTTCCTGCGACCAGACCAATTGGTGCAACTTTCCCTGCTGCTACAGTTGTTGGGGCTGCCAAGAATTGAGTGACTACCCGTCGTATCGAATATGGTGCCAGAATCCCTGTTGTTTGGATCAAAGTGGCCCCAGAGGATCAGACCTCCATCTCGGCCCAGACAGAGCTGACGACATTCACGACGTTTGCGTCTACACTGACTCCGAGCCGCAGAGCTGTGTCCATCCCTGCGAGAAATCGAATGGTACAGAGACCTCGCCTAGGCTTAGCCTCACAGGTCTTGTGGCCTGTCTTGCCCGTTGGGTAGGCCTCGCATTTGATGTGGACTTTCACACCTGCCCTCAGAATTTGGTGAGTCTAGACCGGATTGTAGAGCTTCTGGTGCGATTACAATCAAAAAGCTGGAAAGAATTGGCCGAAACCACGAAGGTGGAGGGAGAAACAGTTACTGACGAAGCTGAAGTGGAAGTAGGGTGCATCGCCGGAGGAGGCTGGACCAGATTATTACTCTCAGAGAAAGATGGGCAGGAGCAGGAATCTCAGACGAGAAACGGTAGGCAATCTAAGGTTAATTCTGGACTGCTTGTTAAAGAAAGCTAGGGCAGGGATATGAAAAATAGTGTTCACTAAAGTTGACAATATTGCAAATGAGGTCAACCCGATTTATTTCCCCAAATATGCTTTGGATCACCATATATTATTGCAGTTACTTTCATCGGGGAAATGCTTTGATATTCACCACTTCTACACACATGGATAATATAACTAACACATAACGAGTGATTAGCAAAATAGGGAAACATTAAACCATCTACAAAAGCACCACTTTGTGATTGACGTGATGCCAAAATTCTTAAAACTTCGGCCTTTTTGTTGAAGAGAGCAAAGATTTTGTTTAAACCAATAGCTTTCTTCTTCAGATGCCTATCATCATTTAGCCTCAAACTATTAGGCGGATGAGCATAGCCCAATCTATTTAGTCGAACATAATCCATCTAAAAATCTCCTTAAGCTTTGAAATAGAGAAAGCTTAACCTTGCTCTGAGTATGAAAATAACTATCTGCTCTTCTACAAATTATCTTAAACCCACGAGGAATTTTCATTTTCATTATGAATTTTCCGGCTCATCCGGCCCAAATTCACATGGTCAGGATCATCTGACTATGATTTGATTGCGTAATTTGTATGCACCGAAATCAGATACTGATAAAGATCAGGCCTTTCAATTGCAAATGCTGACGAGTTCCAGTAATACCCTATCTGTACATGCAGTCGTCTACAGAGGAGTCTCAAGCCTGAACTAATAGGCGATGGAGTCGAAATCGCAGTCGCTCCTGAATCATCCTGTACCGTCTGCTCTAAAGCAATGGATGGATGGATCGGGCAGTGTATACCAGCCATAGTTCATACTAGGCTTCGACCCAGAGATAACTCCAATCTTCAGCAGGCGAACTGAGCTTGGTTGGATCGGGCAAATCAACCAAGGAAAGAGGTCGTCTGGTACCGGTAAAGTTCTCAGGTCCTCACAATATTAAATTGAGAAAGTGGTACCCACAATGGGTTATCTACAAATTATGCGGAAAAATGAAGTGTCCATATCTTTTTGACATAAATCTATGAAAATTCTGATGGATAACTCCAGACTAGTACCTCCGTAGCCTAAAGGAAAATAGCTCTAAAGCTCTTTAAGGTTATCTCTTTAAATATAGCCGTCCATGAAACATAGTCGGTTTGGGAAGTTATAATTATTCCAACCATATCAAGCATATACTTTTTTCCAATAACAATTTCCAATATCCAAACATTATGAAGCCGATATTTAAATTTAAGCCTTTGCTACATTAACAGTTATTTCATTGAGCCATTGGAATAAATTATTCGTGAAGATGGCAGTCTACTATGGTTTTTATATATACTTTACAAAATCTCGCTAGGCTTCCATAGTCCCGGCCAACTACTCTGGCTCTTGTTGACAGCCTGCAACTTGGGTGCCAGGAAACGCCATTTGCCTTCATGTTCCCGAACGTCAGAGCCAAAGTGTCTTCATGTATCTCCCGCTGCAAGTGTCAATCGTTCTTCCTACGACTCAATACCGTCATCCCCATCAACTGGTCTCTATCAGTCACCCGACAGCATCCTTGACTGGTCAGAAGCCTGTCAAGCTCACAGACATTTGAGTCGAACTTCAAAGGGTTCCGAATATTATCTTGCAACTGCTATAGATGACGATAGCAACTACATGCGTTCAGCACTTCACAGGGTCAGAAGTCAGACAAGTTGCTATGCAAGATCGTGTACCTCATCAGGAATCCAAGTGGATAACTCGGGGATATTTACAAGAGGTCAATTGGGCTTTAAGTATCAAAGCTCATTTCAGTCAGAATATACAAGTTCGACTCCCTTTACGCGTAAGAATCGAATGAGCACTGTAAGTATGCCATCAGCCGTGATCGCCACTCAACAGCCGCCAAAGCGCGTATCTTCTTCTACACAGCCACAATCGGCTTCAGGAGTGCCATGGACTTTGGGACATTCGTTGGCCACAAGCTCAGAGGCGTCCAATTGGAGTATCAATCTACCCGATTATGGAATGAGATTGCAAGTGGCCTTTGACATAGCAGCCGCAGTTATGCCGGTAGAATTTTATCGGAGAGATAAACAAAATAGAGTATCAAACGGAGCCAGGCAGATGGGGGACTTTGGATTGCGACATTCCACGCTCAACAGGGGAGTCTACATTATGAAGGTAAGTTGTTATGAAATACAGACAGACATATGAGATATATTGACCTTATTTCGTTTAAGATGATAAAGGACTGATAGTAGAATTTTCCCACAATGATATGAGTAGAGGTGACGCTTCCACTAAATTTCACATAGCCTGCAGTTTCCACCTCACATAGGTCTTAGCAACACCCCTAGAGGAAGTCAAACCGTGACAGTGCAGCATATGAGCTTGACATGTTAACCACTTGACAACATTACCACTAGTGCCCTTGGATCACAGAGCACATGTGAATTTTAAGTAATGTCAGGCCTTTTCCCATATCATAATCTTTGGTGGGATTGTCGATGAAGCAAACGTATTTTTGCCATAATAATCGACTACATTACTTATTTTTCGTATATAGGTAAAGTTTCAATGGAATCGCCAGCTCTACTAATATCAGTGTGGTAAAATTCTACTACCACTCCTTCATCACCTTAAATGAAATAGGGCGAATACATCTCATATAACTGATTTACTAGTGGTCTCGAAACTCTACTCATATACGAAAAAAAGACAGACATATATACATCGAGAAGGTTGTGTGTAGATCAGGATCGAGAAATTTAACTAAATGAAACCTTTTAAAGTGATGGAATGAATTGTGAAGCCTGATAGAAGCTGGCTCGGGTTTCGCTAAAACTCCGTGAAGCAGCATTTATCCAAATGTTAACTTTTCTGAGTTTTGATGCTTCAAAGCAAGATTGAGCCCCCTCCTGAAATCAATGAGAGTAAACCTAGCACAGACCATAAAACCATAGTTGATCTAATGTCTAGTTTGACCATATCATTTCCCCAAGTGTAATTTGAATCAACAGATACTGTGATCCTTCACATTTGCGAACAACATCTTCTGTGTATTTGTCAGTTAAGAGCGGTCTGAATCACCATACAATACCTTTATTGTAATTAATTCATGCTAGAACATTTCGCCTAATTGGTAACCTGATGGTATTAACCTTAATAAAACTAGCCACTAGGCTGAAGCTCTATTCCACCATGGAAGGACCATGTTCACTTTTGGAAGTGTATCGAGCAGAGTATAACTATTGTTTCAGGGATTATGAACGTAATAACCCTTATTGGCTGGTGGATTAAGGTCGCAATACCATGCGACTTCTGATCAACATCTTTTTCTAATCCGAAGAAAAATTATTTAAGCCCGTCCAGATAATCTAAGATCCTTTGTCCCTTAGCTATAATCCACCCCAAA